TTTTTTTTTTTTTTTTAGTAAAAACGCACTCTGAGATTATTAGCAGTGTTTCCTTCAGAAATTTTCCCCAGGGGTGGGGGGGCACTTCAGAGTTTGGGGAAAAGGGGGGGGGGGGCTATGCAAGGTGAAGGTAAGGAGTGGCAGATGGGACATACGTCCCGGGGCGCCAGACTTGAGGGGGGGGGAATGGGCTTTGATGGAATTAATTGGTTGAAAATAACCAGTTTCAGAGTTGGAGGGGGGCGTAAAAATGAATCTTTTCACCTGACGCAAAACACTGTAGATACGCCACTGCTAGTGGCGTCGAAATAGGGCGGATGGAGTGGTCCATCCAGGTGCCATTTTTTTTTATGCTTGTATGGCATTTTTTGACATCTGTATGGTTTGAATCGTGAAAGGGAGTACGGCAAAAATATTTGGCCGCTCATGGCAGCTTTAATAGTAGCTACGCCACCAGGCAGTGTATCTAACGATACCAAAATCAGCGATCATTTTCATGGAGAAGTAGGACAGAAATTGATGGCGTCGATGAATCTTGATCGGTTGAGGGGTTTTGGGGAACCTGCTCCCCAGAAAATTTTTGATTATTTCAAAATCAAGAGGTGTATTTTTGAGTATACTTGAATTCGATGTTTAAATTTTACCTTTTGATGAGGGAAGAAATTTTTTAAGGTTTTGTGGGAGGAATTATTGAGCCCAGTGCCATATATAAACTGAATTCCCTCGATTTGTGGCATTCTCCAAGTTAATCATTAGGGATACGCTTATAATCAAACCCATAGTGTACCATTGATCAGCGTGATGGAAGGGGTGCATAATTAAGGGTGCTAAAGACAGTCGTACAGACTCAAAATGCAGGGGTGCATTATTTTGGTGCATACTTGAATTTGTTGTTTCTTTCAGACAATTTTGAGGTGGCATTTCAAACGTTTTGGGTGGGAAATGTCAAAATTAGCCATAATAATGATCAAAGACATCTTAAATCTCGCACCAGCGGGACGTAAACTATATGCACTCTAGTTATGCCATCCTTGAGAGTACGAATTTACCCTAGTTTATTCCCGTCCTTTAAATCATTATAATCCCCAGAACATTTTTTATAAATTCAAAATACGAGAAATCATTTTTCGCATATCTGAATTTAGTTTTGCAACATGCCACACTTAATTGGAGGGCAACGAAAGATATCCTAATTAAAAAATATAGGTGCCACTTAACCATAGAACCATCGTGTGCGCCCAGCAACCCCTACGACTGATGGGTGCCTGGGATATTTTAGGGCTTAAAGATGTAATGGTATTTCTTAATAATCATCTTTCCATGCGGGGCTGTTAAAACGGAAATAGCCTGACCTCTGACCTCCTTGTATTATGCAAAAACAAAATTAAAATAATTATTTAACTAAAAATAGTCATGTGGCTTTTAATTTTTTCTTTACATTATTTTTAGGATAGCTACTTAATTAATAAATGAATTTTCAAAAAACAAAATTTGATTTAAAAGGGTGCTATTACTAAAAAGCACTGCAAATATTATTTTATAAGATTAACGCAAACGGACAAAAACAAACTTACTTATAATTATAATGCTTAGACTAACTTTTATAAATAAAATATGTCCTAATTTTACCAGAGTCAACAAGAAAAAACGGGTTTATTAGAAAGGCCTATGCATTATTATGGGTTTTGAAAACTGGTCATTTTTATAAATTGCATATGAGCGGAATAACTATTTTAAGAAGACATGAGTTTTTACGGAAGACATTATATTTATTAATGTATGACTTTATCTAAGGGAAATTCCTATGCAAATAAGGTATAAATTTCCCAATATTCAGTAGATTGAATTTTTTTTATTTTTTTTTGTGGAATTTCAACTATAACTTTCTTAAATTGCCTCTTCGCTTTACTTAAAAATGTTTTGATCTAAATCCACAGAATCTATTTTAAATTTACTAATTAAGAAAAATAATTTTTTTTTTTTATATAAATCCGTACTAAAAAAAAAAAAGGAATTGGCATGATAATCTAAATGCTAGTTCACAAAATAATTTTTTTAGCTTTGTATTGGATTCTCACCTAAAACAAAAATAATAATATAAATAAAAATGATGGCAATGCCAATGGATGGGGCGTTTTGTTTGTTATTCTGACATTAAAAAGAGAAAAGCAGTTGGGCAGTTAATAATAATAAATTTTAATAAAGGCTAACGGCTAAGTATTTGTTTTTAAATCTGTTATTCATAAAACTTTCTAACAAAGTAGTACATTTAAAGAAAACAAAAAACCCTTTTGAGTTAATAGTAATTTAATGAAACGTGCTCTATTTCTTTGCGCCCTTTAAATTCTAAGTTAAGAAGGGGAAAAAAGCATGAAGCGTAATTTTTTTGTCATGCTTTTACGATGAACTAAAATTTGACAACAGATTGCACGTGTTTAGAATAACTATTTTTAAAATTGTAGACCTTTATAGATATGTAAATGTCTTTATTTAATATAGTGATATTAAAGTCTTTAAACTTGTGGAGTTGCAAAAAAAAATAAAATAAAGCGATATAAGCATGGGCGCCCGCAGGTGGGGGGCAAGGGGTGCACTTGCCCCCCCCCCCCCGCATGAATAGAATAAAAAAAAAAAAAACAAAAA